CAGACGCTGACCTTGATCGGTATGGAGGTGTACCTTATATAGGGGAGTGATTTAATTTAAGCCCCTCCCACAATTACAGGCCAAATGGCCTTAATACTTGTGTAAGGGGCAAATAGCCGTATATGGAGTAGGGTTCAAGTAAGAATGTAGGATAGTATAAAAGAGCAAAGTCGGATGTGGTGTGCCGATACCGACGATACGGTAGGCCTGTAAATAAAGAGGGCAAAAAGTGAATAACCAAAGATTTAATACAGTCAACAAATATATATACAATTATCCAGACATTTCTTTAAAAGCATTTCTTAATTCTTGTGTAGGTTTGGGTATGTAAGTCGTATATGCAGATGACTTCCAACGCCCCAGTGATTTAATGATATGCACCGGTATGTTAGTGCTGGAAGCTGTGGAGGCCGCCCCTATGCGGAAGGAGTGACCTGAGTAGTGAGAAGGGTTAAAACCTAGTATGGTTAACAGGGATCGGATATATTTCATGAAAGTAGTGGTAGTGAGTACAGAGCCTTGTAGTGAGAATAGGTTTTGTGATGGTGGTGACGTGGTAAGTGGAAGGTAGGAATCTAGAGTCGCTACTGGACACCATTTGTTATGGGTAGGTAAATAAGTAATCTCCACTGGAGGTGCGTGTTGGCTTGTTTTTGACTGGGATAGTGACAGTATGTAGTGATCCATGTGTTTGCGTAGGTGTGTGCGTAGAAGACATCTGTCTGTCTGCGTGGTGGTGATAGTAGTGAATTCTCTTGGCCTGAGGAACCCGTAGAATTCTATGTACATGGAAGCTTTGATTACTGTGTTGGTGGTAGAGTGAAAAGGTTTGGAGTCTAATAGGTCGGATAATGACTGAAAAAGTGTGTTGTCTATAGGTAATCTCTGCGGAGGATGTGGAGGAACGGATTTCTGAATACCTCTGAGTATGTTTTTTATCTGATAAGACGACATAAAACTATGTGTATTGGGTTGTAGTGTTAGAATGTGATGTTGAATGCCTGTCAGATATAATTTGATGGTGTTGTAAGATAAGTGTAATTTAAGGTGGCAGAAAGAAGAGAAGGCTATGATAGATGTCATGACAAAAGGTTGGGCTATGTCGCGGTCAGATAGAAATCTAGTGAAAAGTGTGAAGGCTCTGTTGTATGTTTTGTGAGTGTTGGATGATAGTGCCAATTTGGCCAGATCCCTGCTATGTTGCATGATTAGTTCTAGTCCATGGTTAGCTGTTGGAATGGAGGGGCAGCTGTGGCTGCTTGTGCTGCTGACAGGAGTGCTTGCCGAAAAGCCTGAAAGTTGAAACGAGACAGACTGTCAGCTGCTATGTTACTAATGCCTAGTACATAAAAGCAGACTATGTAGAAATTGTGACATGCTGCTAACCACGTGAGTTTCCTGAGAAATGATGTGACATGTGGCTTGGTTGTCTGTGTGACAATGGACTGACAAGCGTGACCATAAATGTCCCCACGCCACGGCAGCTGCTACAATGGGATAAATTTCAAAAAGAGCTGAGGTTGTAAAAAAGCCTTCTAAGTCATAGACGTCTTCAGGCCACTTACCCCAAAGCCATTCGTTCCCAAAGATCACTGCAAAACCTGTGGTAGACGCTGCGTCTGACCATATGGTTGGAGATATGTCAGACAATTCTGGGAGGAACAAGCTTTTACCATTCCAGGTGGTCAAGAATTCTTTCCACATGTGTAGGTCTGCTGT